CCATGGCATGATGCCGATTAAGCTCGAAGTAGTATCTATCTCGGACTTTATCGAATGATTATCTTCAGCTGAGTAAGTTTAACCTTTTCCTTATAAAAAGAATAGGTATATATATTCCCCTTATATATTATATATATAAATAAATATATCTCCTATTTACCCCCCCTCTTCGAGGGGGGGGAGTTAATATATATATTAATAGGAGAGATATCTAAAGAGATATTAAGTATTATGCCCCTCCTTCGGAGAACCTCCGAAGGAGGGGGTAAAGATATCTCTATCTGGAGATAGGTTATATTCTATTATATAGAATATAAATCTATTATAAAGAAATAGTCCCTGTAGCTTAAAGGTAAAGCAAAATACTGTTAATATTTAGACATTAGTTCGATTCTAATCGGGGACGTATAAATAATGACCCCCCCACACAAGGGGGGAGGTTATCACCCCTCAAAGGAGTACCTCCTTTGAGGGGTAATAAAGATTTATAAATATAAAGGGGTAAACCCTATACGAGAATGTACAGACTTTGTTTAATTGATATAATAATTCCATATATGGGATTATAAGTATCAATTACTTTTAATTAAAATAAAAATGACTTTAATCAGTGGAATTTGTAGTCTTCTAGCATTAAGCTTATTATCGCCTGTACAAAGTATTGTTGCGTTAATAGCTTTATTTGTTAGTGTGGCAATTAGCTTATATTCGAGCGGATATATTCTTATGGGGATACTATATATCTTAATATATGTAGGAGCTATTGCTATTTTATTCTTATTCATTCTATCTTTATTAAATATTGAATATAGTTATAAAGGAACTTTTAATAAAAAAATAGTTTATGTTTTATTAATATGTTTAATACCTTTAGATTTATTATATGAAACATTTGATACAGTAGAAAATATAAATTTTGACATTGTTGAAAATATAAATGGTATATACTCTACAAGTTCTTTACAGAATTGAGATTTAGAGTTAAGTACAGTAGGTACTGTATTCTATACAGAATATGCTATACCTCTAATAATTATATCTTTAATTTTAGTATTATCTGTTATAGGGGCGATTGCAATAACTAAATAATGCAGTATGTAGAATTATTAATTATGTTTGTTAGTGTTCTTTTAGCTGTTGCTTTTTTAACAGTAGCTGAAAGAAAGACAATGGGTTATATGCAAAGACGTGTCGGACCTAATGCTGTAGGTTATTTAGGAGTTTTAATGGCTATTGCTGATGCTGCTAAATTATTACTTAAAGAAATAATTACACCTACTCATGCAGATAAATTCATATTATTCCTTAGTCCTATGATTGCATTAGTATCTTCACTTCTTTGTTGATCTATAATTCCTTTTGCACCAGGTGTTACTATATATGATAGTAATTATGGATTTATTTTAATGTTAGCTATTAGTAGTGTTGGAAGTTTTGGACCTTTACTTGCTGGATGATCCGGTAATAGTAAATATTCTTTACTAGGTAGTATTCGTGCTACTGCACAATTAATTAGTTATGAATTAATTTTAACTACTATTGTTTTAATATGTATTTTATTAGCTGGTACAATGAATTTAAGTAAATATGTAGAATTACAAGAATCAATTTGAATAGGTATACCATTACTTCCTTTATCTATAATGTGATATATAGGTTGTGTTGCTGAAACAGCTAGACCTCCATTTGATGAAGTAGAAGCTGAATCTGAATTAGTTTCAGGTCATATGACTGAATATTCATCTTCTATATTTGTTCTTTTCTTCTTATCTGAATATGCTTCAATCTTATTCTTATCTACTTTAACTGCTATCTTATTCTTTGGTGGTGGTACTGGTATTATATTAGCTTTAAAAGCTAATGTATTTGCTTATTCTTATATTTGAGTAAGAGCTACTTTACCTCGGGTTAGATATGATAGATTAATCCATCTATGTTGAATGGTATTCTTACCTGTATTATTCGGTGTAGCTATATTTATACCTGTACTAATTTATTCATTAGACGCAATTATATTATTATAACTATTCTTCTCTCCCCTCCCCCCTTCGGGGCAGGATCCCCTGCCCCGAAGGGGGTTTATCTCTGCTCCTAATATATAATCCTTATAGTTATACATAATAAAACTATGTGTATATACTTATAGTATAGGGAAGGAGGAAATTATTTATAGGTGAGATATTTCTTATACAATATATTATTTCATATTTAAGATAAATAAATTAAATGAATATTCCCTCCCGGAAGGGAGGGATATCCTAACCCTCTTGGGGCAGAATATTATAGGTTAAACTTAATATCTTATAAATAAAAGTATGATAAATAATAGAGAACTTAAATGCTTTATAGTTTAATGGTAAAACATTATACTTCTAATATAACAATTTAGGTTCGATTCCTAATAGGGCATGAGTTGTTCGATTAAGGGTAAATCACAGATCTTACACGTCTTAGCTAATGGTTCGAATCCATTACGACTCATACCTCCCTTTCTCCTGCAATCCTAAGAATCTTCGCATATTTGGGAGAATAGTCATTATAGATTCGAACTATCCCGGCTATTTGGTAATCTTCTATATTTATATAAATGTAGAAGATCAGTAAAGGAGGCGGCATGGTTCGAATCCATTACGACTCATACCCCCCGAAAAAGAAGGGTATTTGATAGTTGTCAACTATCTCCCATAGAGTAGTGATAGATTCGAACTATCCCGACCTTTGAAAGTATCCAATATTTATAAATATTGGATATTAGGAAAGGGGACGGAATGGTTCGAATCCATTACTCTGCCCCTCCAATGTGTATTGGAGGGGGAGAAGATAAGGGTATAGCTTAATGGTAAAGCAGATGTCTTCAACACATTGCATAATAGTTCGATTCTATTTGCCCTTGACTCTCTATTGATTTAATTAAATTGGTATTATATCAAATAGGATTATTATTCAAAGAACCAATATAACTTTCCTTCTGTGAGTTATTTTATATACTTAGCCTTTGTAGCTTAATGGTTAAAGCAATCGCTTGAAGCGCGGTCTATCTGAGTTCAAGTCTCATCGAAGGCATTTAATATATACCTATCCCCCCCCCGTAAAGCAATGCTTTACGGGGACAACATAAGACAATTATAGCAGTATCTCCCGCCATGCGGTACAGCATGGCGGGAAAAAGAGGGAATGTCGTCTAATGGGCTCCCCCCGCCCAGCTTAAGCTGGGCGGGGAGACTATAAGACATTTGTACAAGTTTTATATTCTTGGGTTGTATTTATATACTTCCTAATTATTTTATTTTTGAGGGAATGTCGTCTAATGGTAAAGACTTTATCCTTTTAAGTTAAATATATTGGTTCAATTCCAATCATTCCTATCATATATACTTATTGTATTATTATTAATTATAAAATTATGACAAATAACGTTAGAGGATATCTACAATTACATCCTTTCCATTTAGTAGGTCCATCACCATGACCTATTTTTACATCATTTAGTTTAATGGATTTAGCTTTATCTTTAGGTTTAACATTTCATGGTTATATTGCAAATAACTTATATATTGGATTAAGTATTATTTGTGTATTATATAGTATGACATTATGATTTAAAGATATTATTGCAGAAAGTACATATTTAGGAGATCATACTATTGCAGTAAAACGTGGTATTAACCAAGGTTTCTTATTATTTGTAGTTAGTGAAATTTTAATCTTTGCTTCATTATTCTGAGCTTATTTACACTCAGCTTTAAACCCTACTATGGATTTAGGTATGAGCTGACCTCCTGTAGGTATTGATGTAATATCTCCAGCTGAATTACCTTTATTAAACACTATTATCTTATTAGCTTCCGGAGTTACTATTACTTATGCTCATCATGCTTTAATTAATGGTAATAGAGCTAATACATTATATGGTTTTATTTATAGTACTTTATTAATCGCTTTATTCGTTATGTTCCAATTCTTAGAGTATAAATATGCTGGATTTACTATCACTGATGGAGTTTATGGTTCAACTTTCTATTCATTAACTGGTTTACATGGTTTACATATGATTATGTTAACTATAATGTTAATTATCTGTACTTGAAGAGTTTATAACTATGATTTCACTAATACATCTCATGTAGGAGCTGAAACAACTATCCTATATCTTCATGTTCTAGATGTTATCTGATTATTCATCTATATTATCGTATATTGATGAGGATCATAAATTTAAATATAATGTCTCCCCAGACAATATATTAATTATTTCTACATTTTTATGTAATATTTATTCCCCCCCTCTTATATATAATCATATTTATTATTCTTTTAAATAAAGATTATTTATAATATATATACATATATAGGAGAGTATTAAAAGATAATAAAAGCGATTATGATGAAATGGTAGACATAAAACACTTAAAATGTTTGGGCGTTATGCCGTAAAGGTTCGAGTCCTTTTAATCGTATACCTTCTCTTATAAAAAGAAGAGAATTTTACATACTTAGAAAGTTTCTTATATTATATATATATATTAATTAATATATATATACTTCAGAGATAGTTCTAATGTTGGTCATGCCCCATCTTGCAGATGGGGGATCACCAACATGAATATGAGTATTTAGATAAATATCTATATTTATCAGAATCTTTATATTTTAATGAGATAGTTCTAATGTTGGTCATGCCTCCTGCGGAGGTATCACCAACATTTAGATTCACACTATAGGTAAGTGTGATGTATTTGTCTATTATTCGATATTCATCCCGCCCTTCATATCCCTAAGGATATGAAGGGCGGGGAAATGAGATAGTTCTAATGTTGGTAATTAGAGTTATATTGTAGCTATAATGCTTAAGGCTACGACTGTTCGATTCAGTCCTATCTCATCCTTATCTTTTATATTTAATTTACATTAAATATGTTATGAAAATAGGTATAAACTTCGGTAGCTATAGTTTAAAGGTAAAACCTTCGTATGTGGAATGATATATCTGAGTTCGAGTCTCAGTAGTTGCCCTTATTATGTAGTCTTATTAGCTTAGCCGTAAAGCGTTCGTTTTGTAATCGAAAGACCATAGGTTCAATTCCTATATAGGACATATATTTATTATTAAGACCATATGATCTAATGGTTATGATATGACTTCTTCGTAGTCGTTATACGAGTTCAAATCTCGTTATGGTTATTATATCTCTCTATATTCCTTTATACTTATTTATTATTTTATATTTATATAGTTTATTATTGTCTATTCTTCTAATAAATGTCCTCTACCTAGAGGAGATATATCTCCTCCCGAAGGGATGGCATATATATTATATATATATATAACAAGGATATTATATCTATATCAAGTATATAATCTTTTAACTTATCTCTTTCTATAGATCATTTTATCTGACTAATCTCCCCGACCTTTATAAAGGTCGGATCAATATCTTAATTATTATCTAGTTTTTCATTTATAATTTAATTCTTATTTTATCTTTAATAATTCTTTTATATTATTATTCTATCCCTTTTAATTTTAACTTTACTTTCATTATATTGATAATTATTTCCTCCCTCTCCTATTTATTTTTAAATAGTATTTTATTTAATAATATTTAAAGTATAAGTAATAAATATAGTTAAAACACTATCTAATATATAGAAGTGTATATCTATTATATAAGTATAAATAAATAAAATGTTAGCACTTATATCAATATTATTATTATTTTATATAAGTCAGAATAATTTAATTACATTGTTAATAGCAATAGAGATATTATTATTAACAGTAACAGTTAAATTAATCTATATGGGAGGTGTATATGATGATATATACGGAACCATATTTAGTTTAGTTATAATCATATTAGCTGGTGCTGAATCAGCTATAGGATTAAGTATATTAGTATCATATTATAGATTAAGAGGGAAAGTAGGTCATACAATCTAATGTTCCAATATTTCTATTATATATGAGAAGAACCAATAAGAATTCATTTAGGTGATTGAGTTAATTTAGGTGATATTAATATCTCTTATGGTATTATATTAGATTCATTATCTATGACTGTTATGATACCTGTAGGTATTGTAACTATGTGTGTATTATTATATGCTATCGAATATATGAGTCATGATCCTAAACGTAATACATTCTTAATTATATTAAGTGTATTTGCTATCTTTATGACTATATTAGTAGTTAGTGATAATTATATTATGATGTTTATTGGTTGAGAGTTTGTAGGAGTTATATCATATTTATTAATTTCATTCTGATCTACTAGAATTGCTGCTATGAAAGCAGCATTATCTGCTATTTTATTAAACCGTATGGGTGATACTTTCTTTATGTTAGTTTTATGTATTTTATTAAAAGATTTTCATGCTGTTGATTTTGAAACATTAGAAATGTTAGCTCCATCTATGCAACCATTACTTATCTTTAGTATATGTCTATTCTTATTACTTGCTGCTACAGCTAAAAGTGCGCAATTAGGTTTACACGCATGATTACTTCATGCGATGGAGGGTCCTACTCCGGTAAGTGCTTTATTACATGCTGCAACTATGGTTTGTGCAGGAGTATATGTATTAGTAAGATCATACTTTTTAATACAATATTCATCTACAATATTATTTGTAATATGTTGATTAGGTGGTATAACAACATTAGTTAGTGGTTTAATAGCTATAGTAACTAATGATATTAAAAGAGTTATTGCTTTATCAACTATGTCTCAATTAAGTATTATGGTATTAGCTATAGGTATTAGTTCATATGATTTAGCTATATATCATTTATATTGTCATGCTTTCTTTAAAGCTTTATTATTCATGGGTGCTGGTTCAGTTATTCATAGTTATATATCTGAAACACAAGATATGCGTAAATACGGTGGTTTAATTAATTATTTACCTTTTAGTTATACAGCTATCTTAATAGCATCATTATCTTTAATGGCTATTCCAGGTTTAACAGGATATTATTCTAAAGATATTATTATTGAATCATTATATGGAACTTATACATTTAGTGGTTATGTTTTATATTATATTGCTGTAGGTTCAGCTACTTTAACTAGTTTATATTCTATAAGATTATTATATTTAACATTCTATAATAACCCTAATAGTAATAAAGCTTCATATCAATATATTCATGAAAATATTTATATGTTAATACCTATGATTATATTAATAGTATATAGTATATTTATAGGATTTAATAGAGATAATGTTATAGCACATTATGGAATGCAAATACCTGCAAATAATAACTTTATTGAAACAGAATTTACATTACCTTGATATATTAAATTATTACCTTTAATATTAGGATTATCTTTATCATTATTATTAGTATATATTTATGAATATGCTTATAAAGTAAGACCATCTATAATCCATAATTACTTTAATAATAAAATCTATTTTGATCAATTATTAAATAATATTGTTATCCGTAAAACATTAGTATTTGGTGGATATCTTAATAAGAAAATCGAAAATGGTTTATTATTAAAAATATTTGGATCTGTTGGTATTAGTAAAGCATTAAGATATGTTAATGGTCCTCACAAAGGACTATACGTGCCTTACGGGCCACATTATATATTTATCCTAAACTTATTATATTTATTCTTCTATATCCCCCCCCCTAAAAGTAATTACTTTTAGGGTTTAATATTGGTTTTAGGTATTAATAAATAGATATATAAAAATATATTTAGTTAGGAGAGATATTATTATATATCTTAAATAATAGGTAGGTATAAATAACGATAGTAGGTTAATGGTAGACTCTGGCACTTCCAATGCTTCAGTGCGTGTTCGAATCACGTCTATCGTATTTTATTATATTTCCCTATATATAAATAATGACCCCCCACAAGGGGGTTATCATCCCTCCCTCCGGGAGGGGGGATGGCATATATTATATCTCTACTTCTTAATCTTAAGGAGGTATATTATATATATTTATATAATTTCGCTATGACTATAGGTATAGATGGTCAATTGCAGCTTGATTAACTAGGGTTCAATTCCCTACATAGTGTTATACATATCTAAGTCCTTTACACATTATCGTGAAGAATATAAATATATATATTTATATAAAGAGGTTGATATTTTATTTAATTAGGCTGCAAATATGTATTTCCATTTTCCTCCCCCTTAAGTATATATATATATAAGTTATATAAAATATAAGGGGGTAACAGATTGTCTCGTAATGGTATCGAGCCTACATTGGGTGTAGGATTTTGAGGGTTCAAGTCCTTCCAATCTGATTTTTATTAAATTATAGAGTTTCAGGTTATCTTACCTCCCACTTTCTCCGCTATACGGAGAAAGTGGGAGGGACTACATAAAATGAAATTAATATCAAATATATCTTTATATAACAAATGCCTCAATTAGTACCATTTTACTTTATGAATTTATTAACAGGTGGTGTTTTAGCTATCTCATTAGTATTATACTTTGTAGCTACTATTTTATTACCTAATATCTTACGTTTATTAATTGCTCGTAATATAATTGTTAAATTATAAATAAATACCTTACTTTATCCTTTCCTCAATATATATGTAAATTATATTAAAGAGAAAAGGTATTTTCTTAGCATATATGCTAAATTATCTTCTTTGTGGAAGATCTATATATATATATATATATATATAAATATTTTGCCGGGTTTATCTAAGGCCAATATAAATAAAAATAAACATGTTTTATTCACCTCTAGATCAATTTGAATTAAAACCATTATTAATAATTTCAGATTCATTAGCTTTTAGTATTACTAATTATACATTATATTTAGTAATAGTATCATTAATTATTGTATTTTACAGTAGTATTATTCGTAACAACAAATTAGGATCATCTCGTTGAGGTGTATCTATCATAGCAATATATGATACAATATTAAATTTAGTTAATGGACAAATAGGACGTAAAGGAGGATATTATTTCCCATTAATCTTTACAATATTTAACTTTATATTAATTGCTAACTTAATTTCAATGATTCCTTATTCATTTGCTATTTCAGCACAATTAGTAGCTATTGTATCATTCTCATTAGCTTTATGATTAGGTAATGTAATCTTAGGATTATATTTACATGGTTGAGGTTTCTTTGCTTTATTTGTACCTAGTGGTACACCTTTAGCTTTAGTACCTGTATTAGTATTAATCGAAGCTTTATCTTACACATCTCGTGCTATTTCTTTAGGTCTTCGTTTAGGTGCTAATATCTTATCAGGTCACTTACTTATGTTAATCCTAGGTTCATTAATTATTAGCTTAATGTCTTCATCTATCTTAGGTTTTGTTAGTGGTATTATTCCTATCCTAGCAGTAGTTGCTATTACTATCCTAGAATTTGGTATTGCTATTATCCAAGCTTACGTATTCAGTATCTTATTATCTGGATATATTAAAGATTCTGTAGAATTACATTAATAACTACCCCCCCGAAGAGAAATAATTAACCCTTCGATAATTTATATTAAAATACTTAATATATATCTATTCCCCCCCCCCCCTTTAAGGGGGGGGGTGTAGATGAGTAAATCTTAAAAGATGTATTTATAAAAATAACTTATAATAAATTTAAAATAGGATAGGAGAAGTAATAGAAAATTATCTTTAAAAGATAATTTGAGTTAAAATATAAAATATGAATAAAATATATAAATATTATTAAATTAATATGTCATATACAACACGATGATTATTTAGTACATCACACAAAGATATTGGTATTTTATACCTAATATTTGGTATGATAAGTGCTATGGTAGCAACATCTATGTCCGTTATAATTAGATTAGAATTATCAGGGCCTGGTTCTCAATACTTACATAATAATAATCAAGTGTATAATGTTCTTGTAACAGGACATGCATTAGCTATGATTTTCTTATTTGTTATGCCTGTATTAATTGGGGCTTTTGGTAATTTTTTCTTACCAATTATGATTGGAGCTGTTGACATGGCATTTGCAAGATTAAATAATATCAGTTTTTGATGCTTACCACCAGCATTAGTATGTATAATTGGTTCTGTACTAATAGAGTCGGGAGCCGGTACGGGATGGGCCTAGGATTTTATAAAAAATATAAATAAACTAATAAATACCTATTAAAAAGGTAAATATAACTCTAATATAGTTATTATTATAATTTGTCCCTTTATATTGTGAAATATAATTTAAATAAGGTTAATTGCATAGATATCTTATCCCCTTCTCCCTTTATTCATCTATAAAATTATACAAAGCTTTGTTATATGGAGTTTATAAGGAAAGGTGGAGGACAATATGCAGCGAATAATATACATATATTATATATATATATTAACGTTCAACGACTAAGGATTAATAAATTCTCATGAATACCTTATATCTTTATAAATAAAGATAAAGATATAGTCTGTACTATATAGTAATATATAGATATATCTATTAAATAATAGCTTCCTTATTATAAGGGAATATATCAGATATAAAATGATATATATATGTTAACAGAAAGGAACTGTTTACCCACCTCTATCAGCTATTAGTGCACATTCTGGACCATCAGTAGACTTAGCTATCTTTGCTATCCACCTTACAAGTATTTCATCATTATTAGGTGCTATTAACTTTATTGTTACAACACTTAATATGCGTAGTATTGGAGTACATATGATAGACATGCCAATGTTTGTATGAGCTATATTCTTTACAGCCTTCTTATTATTATTATCATTACCTGTATTAACAGCGGGGGTTACATTATTATTAATGGACCGTAACTTTAACACAGGATTTTATGATGTAGCAGCAGGTGGAGATCCAATCCTATACGAACATTTATTTTTGCCCGTCTTATTAGTTTATAGTCTTATATTAATCTTAGTAAATAAATATGTAAAGAATAATATAGATATAAAGAATAAATCTTTTGATTTTAATGCTTTTTATACTCAATATACTAAATATTATCCAAAGAATAAATTACCATCACAAGATTTTTTAGAATGATTTATAGGTTTTTTTGAAGGAGATGGTTCTATGATTATGGGTAAATCTGCTAATTATCTTATTATAGTTCAATCTTATAAAGATAAAAAAGTTTTACAATATATTCAAAATAATTTTAATATGGGTACTATCGCAATACATTCTTCAAAAGATAAAACTCTATCTTGATCAGTTAAAAATCTTAAACATATATACTTATTATGTTTATTATTTAATGGTAATTTAGTATTACCTATTAGGTTATTAACTTTCATTGGTTTTATTTCTAAAATTAACATTAAGTTATTCAAAAATAATGAGGATATTATTAAAATAAATTTAAATGTTATTCTACCTACTTTAAATGATCATTGAATTGCAGGTTTTACAGATGCAGAAGGGTGTTTTTCCGCTTCTGTTTATAGTAAAATTGATCGTTCTTGAACTTTTAATGTAACTTATGTTCTTAGTCAAAAATATGAATCTAATAAATATGTTTTAGAACATATATTAAATTTATTTAATTTAGCCAACAATAAACCCGTAAATGAAACTTTACCTTTAAGTGGAGTAGAATCTAATAAAAGTTTAGGTAAAGTTTCACCACATAGCAAACCTAATGTTTGAGATTTACGTATTACAGGCTATAAGAATTGTAATAAGATATTATTTTATTTTGATACCTACTCATTAAAAAGTAATAAATTAAAAAGTTATTCTATATTTAAAGAAGTTTTATTATCTGTTGAAAAAGGTGAACACCTTAATCCAGATAAAAGACTTAAACTAAAAGAATTGTGTAAGACTATAAATAAATCTAATATAAAAGTTTTGAAATAAAGGGAATGGTTTAACGTAAGTTATAGTCTCCCCCTCCTCTATTAGAGGAGGGGGAGGCGAAGAGGTTATAAAGCAAATGTTTTATATTTTATATAAGACTTTATACACCAAATATTTGTATATCTATATATATATTATCTTTAATTTAAGATAATATACAATAGATAAAATATACCATTTTATACTTATCTTTCTTTGAAAAGAAACTAAGTTACCCTAGTTATAATAATAGATATATTATTATAGCAACATTATAGGTACGGTCAACAATTACTCAGATTTAGACCGTCGGTTATATTTATACTTCACATATATATATATATGTAAGTAAGTTATAGTCGCTACAGACTGCTTCTATGATGGGTTATATTATATATATAGCTTAATGTACAGTCGGAATCTCATCTTATTATAAGATGGTCATATTTATATATGAGATATATACTACGAGAGTGAAGAAATGTAGTATAATGTATATTATACATTATTTGTTATAATAATAATAACAAATTTATATCATGATTTGGATTCTTTGGTCAAGGTGGCCCTTTATATTTATTATTAAATTTATTGTAATGTGCTATATGCTGGAAAGATTTTATATATATAATATAAAATATAATCAGCAGGTAACCAACAACTAATTAAATATTATAAATCATATTTAATTTAGTAGGTACCTCAGAGACTACACGCACATCTAATATATATATATATATATTAGAAGATATAGTCCTACTAATATAAACATAATAGGATATTATATCCTAATATTCCGCCCCCCAGCGAAGCTGGGGTTGGGATATCCCCCCCCCTCGGGGGGGAATATTATATTAGTAACACCCAGAAGTTTATATCTTAATTATCCCAGGATTTGGTATTATTTCACATGTTATTTCTACATATAGTAAAAAAGAAATCTTTGGTCATGTAGGAATGATTTATGCTATTGCAAGTATTGGTCTTTTAGGTTTCTTAGTATGAAGCCATCATATGTATACAGTAGGTCTAGATATTGATAGTAGAGCTTACTTTACTAGTGCAACTATGATTATTGCAGTGCCAACAGGTATTAAAATCTTTTCTTGATTGGCAACTTTATATGGTGGTGAGTTACGTTTAGCTGTTCCAATGTTATTCGCATTAGGATTCCTATTCTTATTCACTGTCGGAGGTTTAAATAACTTTGTTAGACCTCTTTAAATTCCACTATATGCGGGAACATATATACTTCCTCCTCCTCAGGTATAAGGTGGAATCATATAAAATCCGCAGGTAATACAATTCAATATATTGTAGAACCTCAGAGACTATACGTGGAAAGCTATAATATATATTATAGTTAAGAGATAGTCCAAACAATATTTTATTATATTTATATTTTAAAATAATGAAATATACGAGTAACAGGAGTTATGCTATCTAATGCCTCTATTGATGTGGCCTTCCATGATACATACTATACAGTTGGTTAAGTGGCCCTTTGGGAATTTATTCTCAAAGTTTTTGACTATATGCTGGGACTTATATCTTTAGGAATATATTTACTAATAATAATTAATTTGTATTTGATAAGTTTATTAAATGTTTATATAATGACCCCCTCCCGGAGGGAGGGGGAGATAACCCCCCTTTGTGGGGGTCATTATTGATTTTATTATTATAAATTTATAATATATTATATTATGTATATTAGTCAAAATAATATTATTCCTGCAGTATTAGAATACTCGGATATACAATCAGCAGAAAACCTTTCGGGATTCTCAGAGACTATAGGTCAAAATTCTAAGTATATTAAAGAATACACTGATGACAAAAGATTTTGACATTGATTCGCAAGTGTATTAGCTGGAGATGGTCATTTTCCCCACCCCCTGCTTTGCAGGGGGGGATTATAATAAACCTTATGTTCTTATACTCTTCATATAAATGAAGATAAATAATATGTAATTAAAAGAATTAATGATCAAAAACTCCATTTGTTAATAAACTTAGAATAAAAGATAGTCCAGGAAATTAAAAATTTCTAACACTTTCATTATGTATTATCAATGGGAGCTTTATTTAGCCTTATTGCTGGATACTATTATTGAGGTTATGCCATGTTTGGTTTAAACTATAATAAAGTTTTAGGTGAAGCTCATTTCTGATTATTATTTATCTCTGTAAATGTTATCTTCTTACCAATGCACTTCTTAGGTCTAAATGGGATAAACTATTTGTCCCTTTATATCGTAAGATATAATACCCCCTCCTCCACTTAGGTGGAGGAGGGGGGGAAATAAGGTTACTTTCCCCCGCCTAACGGGCGGGGAAGAGATCAATCTATTTCCTAAAATGAGGTTAATTATAAAAATCTCTTATATATATATAAGATAATTTGTAGTGAAATCATATATAAATATATGAGACATTCAACGACTAGAAGATGAAATAATTCTTCCATGAATACCTTACATCTTTCCCTTCATTTTACTATATACCCCCTCTTCGAGGGGCTAGTTTATCTAGTAGCAGGGGGAAGATGATGACATAGTCTAAACTATATAGTGATATATAGATATATATATTAATTGATATATATGTTAATATAATTGGCCTAGACGTATTCCACAATACCCAGATGCATTCTTAGGTTGAAACGTTATTAGTTCTTGAGGATCAGTAATGTCTGTTATCTCTGTAATTGTAGGACTTTATAGTATCTTAATTCAATTAACTGAAGGTGAAAACATCACTCGTGAAGCTGCTGTTACACCTGATTACTTAGAGTCAAATAATACAAGAGAAACACGTGATTCTGACTTAGAATTAATCCTATCTAAACCAGCACAATATCATACTTACTCTGAATTACCTATCTTAATAGAAAGAGTATAACTATTCTCCCCCCCCCCCTCCTCTCTATAAAAAATATGATCTTCTACCTTTTCATAGAAAATCTTTTTATAGCTATATCATTTAATATATAATTTTTTTTATATATAGGGGAGTATATAAGATAAATATTATATATACCTACTCACAATATAAGTGTAAAATTATTATAGGGTATAACTTATAATAGATAAAATAAATAATGACCCCCACAAGGGGGTTATCTCCCCCTCCCTCCGCCCCCTTTGCGGGGGCGGAGGTAGGGGTAAGTATATAAAAATAAATGAGTATATATATAAGGATGTATGACTGAGAGGTTTAAGGTGTGATATTTGAGCTATCAAGGTGTATACCCACGTGTTCGAATCACGTTGCATCCGATATTTATATATTTTATATCCCCCCCCTTAGAGACTATTTTTCACTATGTAATACCTTTTTCTTATTAAAATAGGTTAATTTATTAGAATAGTATTATCTCAGGGTGTGGTTATATGATTATGGCGGAATTGGTATACGCGATTAGTTTAGGTCTAATTTATTAAGGGTTCAAGTCCCTTTGATCATATACTCTACTTTTATGCTATTTTATTCATATATATAAATATAAATAAAATAGATTTATTATTATTATTAAACAAAATGACATTAATATATTTTATAATTTCTTCAACAACTTCTGTTATAAGTAGAACATTTAAAGGTATTAATAAATCAATAATATTAGTAGCTAGTATATTAATAGTTATTCCAACTCTTTATGATTGAAATGAATTAGATGTATATTATACTACTGATGGTATTGCTGATATATTTATCCTTTTAATAGCTTATTTATTACCTTTATCTATTATAGCTAATTGAAATAGTATTAAAACAACATTATACTATGAATTAGTATTTAATTTAGGTATCATATTATTAATTAATTTCATGTGTCAAGATATGTTATCTTTCTATATCTATTTTGAAGCATCTTTAGCTCCTTTATTTATTTTAATTGGATTATATGGTGCTAATAATAGAGAAAAAGCAGCTGATTATATATTAATATATACTTTATTTTCTTCATTATTTATGTTAATAGCTATTGCTGTTTATGAAGTATTAATTGGTAATACTGATTATCAAGCTGTTAGTTTATTAGTTTTATCTACTGATTTACAATGTATCTTATTCTTAGCTATTTCTATAGGTATTATGGTTAAAACACCTTTAGTTCCTTTACATACTTGATTACCTGTTGTTCATTCAGAAAGTCCTTTAGCTGGTTCTATGTTATTAGCAGGTATTATACTTAAATTAGCTGTTTATGCTATTATTCGTCTAATCTTACCTACTTTATCTGATGCTGCTTACTTATATACTCCTTATGTAACTATAATAGGTGTTATTACTATAATTTATACATCTCTTATTACTTTAAGACAAACTGATTTAAAAGTTATTGTTGCTTATAGTTCTATTGCTCATATGGCTGTTTGTATTCTAGGTCTTATGTCTAATAGTGTTGTAGGTATCGGTGGTAGTCTAATCTTATCTATTGCTCATGGTTTTGTTTCTCCTGCTTTATTTATTATTGTAGGAGGTATTCTTTATGATAGATATCATAGTAGATTAATTTATAATTATCAAGGTTTAATTACTTATATGCCTATATTAGCTATATATTTAATTATATTAAGTTTCTGTAATATTGGTACTCCTTTATCTGTTAACTTTATTGGTGAATTATTCTCTCTTACTGGTGCTATTAATCAAACTTTCCCTTTATCTTCTTTAGCTATATTATCTGTATTATTATCTGCTGCTTATATGATGAAAGTTACTAATAGATTAACTGGTGGTATTAAAACACCTTATATCGCTTTAACTCATGATTGTACTTATAGAGAAAGTGTATTATTAATTTCTTTAATTATACCTACTATCTTCTATGGATTATTCCCTAATGGTATTATAAACATAATATGAGATATAAATAAATTATTATATACTTATTAAACAGATATATTTCTATACATATTCCTCCTCTTATCCTATATCTATAATATATCTATAAGAAGTAATAAATTTTATCTATTTTATTAATAAAGGAGACATATTTTATATAACGCAATATAATGTAATTGGTAACATATAAGATTCATGCTTTTATTATGGTAGTTCGAGTCTATCTATTGCATTGTCCCTCCCTATCTTTCTCATTTACATAGCTCCCTATAGGGGGGTTATGGAGAATGGTGGAGAGGATTCAAATAGAATAAAATAATGAACTATAGCTCAATGGTAGAGCGATCCACTCATAATGGATTGGTCTCAGTTCAATTCTGAGTAGTTCAACATATAGTTTTACGTCATGAACATGATGTTGATTCGGATAAAATGCTATGTAGAAGCGTTACACATGCAAATACCTCTTTAGGGGTGTGTTAAGGTGAGTATAATAGATACGTAAAGTATCTTATTAGATGAAGGTATTAGTTATTTAACTAGCCGTAGACCTATAGTCGGTGATGGAAGTCACAACGATCACATTGGCATTAAGCCAACTACTATTAGTAGCAGCAGTGGGGAATTATTGACAATGACCTAACGGTTGATCATGCTATCTATAAGAGATTTAATAACATATAAAATTTATATTTATATAAAAATTATTATTACTATTATAATATCTCAGCTTCATATTAAAGAATGATTAATATGAAAGTAAAGTTCTGACCAAATGATGTGCCAGCAGTCGCGGTTAGACATCAAGAGCAAGCATTAATCTACATTGGCCTAAAGGATCCGTAGGTTTATATTTTCTTTCTTTAGGGGAAGAAAACATAGAATTTATTAGATGTATAATGAAATATAACTTTAGGGATAAAATACTATGATAGTTATAAGACAGCATAGAATATACAGAAAATAAATTGACACTGAGGGATGAAAGCTATAGTAGTGACATGGATTCGGTACCCATTTAATTATAGCTGTGAACTATGTATACTATAAATTAGATAAGCGAAGGCTTAAAGTATACCGCCAGACTAGTACGTTCGCAAGGATGAAATGCAAGACATTAGACGGTTATATATATATGCAGTGGAGTATACTGTTTAATTGGACAATACCCCTAAAACCTTACCTACTCTTGAATATATTTTATTATTTATAATAATCTATACAGGCGTTACATTGTTGTCGTCAGTTCATGCTTTGTGGTATCTTATTAAGTTATTTAATGAACAAAACCCTCAATCTTATGATTATGTATGTCCGACAGGATATAGGAAGTAGAGGCTAAAGACTAATCATCATGACCCTTATGAGTAGGGCCACAGGTGTACTACTATCTCTTATATAATTATATATATCTGACCCCCCAGATATATATGATCCCCCCCGAAAGGGGGGCATTATATATATCTTTATATGATTATTTCATATTAAATTAGATATAATATTAAATATAAGATATTATGATAAATTTTCTTTAAATTGGATTATTGCCTGTAACTCGGTAATATAAAAAAGGAATTGCTAGTAATCATAGACAAGAGTGCTATGGTGAACTATACATATATTTCGCACTAATCACTCATCAATAGCATAGATAATGTCTTAATACACCTTTGTGTATTAATGAGCATATGATATGCTATAAGTTGAAATACAGTTCGAGTAAGGGAACTTGCTCGGGATTTATATTAATATTATCTATTCTTTTCCCCCCCCCCACCTTCTTAAATTAGTATTATTTGAATAGATGATATGATGATATCCCCCCTTGCGGGTATATTATCTATTAAACATTATTATTTTAATAAATAGCCTATATCTTAATGGTAAAGAGACTGATTGATAATCGGTAAATATAAGTTCGATTCTTATTAGGCTAAGAAATTGTCAATATTAATATATAAATAAATAAAAATCATGCAAATCGCATTAGCCGCTAAATACATTGGAGCTAGTATCGCTACATTAGGATTAGGAGGTGCCGCTATCGGTATCGCTTTAGTATTCGTTGCTTTAATCAACGGTACATCACGTAACCCTTCATTAAGAAGTACATTATTCCCTCAAGCTATCTTAGGTTTCGCCTTATCAGAAGCTTGTGGATTATTCTGTTTAATGATCTCTTTCTTATTATTATACGCTGTTTAATTTTATCTCCTCATAAGGAGATTAACCATGCTTAGCGTAGCATATATATATTCCTATTATATCTTATAATAACATACTTATGCTCCCCCCCCTCGAATAGGGGGGGAATATATAACCCCTTTGGGCATAACCCCAAAGGGGGTAGTTTATGGGGATACTATATCACTATATATATTATATTATCACTATATATATATATATATATAGTTTAATGTCCCTCCTCTCCTATACATTTATACATTTATATTCTAAATATATAGGAGAATATAAAAGCATTTTAAGAATACTTATCATTCTGTGATAAGTGAAAATTCATATGGTAACATTATTATTCTATTAACTTTAAAAAGTGAATAGATATTCTTTTTGAATTAATTATATAAATTAAAATATGCCTATACGTAAAAGTAATACATATTTATCATTGGTTAATAGCTATTTAATAGATAGCCCACAACCAAGTTCAATTAACTATTGATGAAACTTAGGTAGCCTTTTAGGATTATGTTTAGTAATTCAACTAGCTAGTGGTATTTTCCTAGCTATGCATTATTCATCTAACATCGAATTAGCTTTTAACTCTGTGGAGCACATTATGAGAGATGTTAATGCTGGTTGATTAATTAGATATATTCATGCTAATGGAGCTAGTTTCTTCTTCATTTGTATGTACTTACATATTGGTAAAGCTTTATACTATGGTAGTTATAAACGTCCAAGAGTTATGTTATGAGTTGTAGGAGTAATTATCTTCATCTTAACAATGGCTATTGCTTTCATGGGTTATACGAATAAAAGTAGCCCAAAATTATTTATACCTACTACATATACACAGAATAGAAGTAATATTATAGCTAAATATACTGTTCCTTACTTATGCTTTAAACGTAATTTTTCTTATAGTAGTAAATGTATGAAATCACTTAAACTTGATACTTTAATTTCTTTAGATCAGGATATTACTCCACCTGAAGAAATATTTAAAGAATTATGTATTTACCCAGATAATTACTGAGAAAATCTACATGATCCTCTAGTAAGAGAATCAATAAGAACCGAAGTAAAATCTAAAAGTGGTATATACATTATAATTTGTAAAATATCTCGTAATTATTATATAGGTTCAGCTCAAACAAATAATTTATATATGAGATTTCATAATCATTTACTTACGAATAATCGTCAAGGTAGTAAATTAGTACAAAGATCTGTAGCTAAATATGGATTAAATAATTTTATTTATGCTATTTTAGAATATTATCCTTATATTGTAACTAAAGATAATAATGAAGAATTATTAGCTTTAGAAACGTCATATATAGCTTTATTATTTCCTAAATACAATATAGAAACTGAAGCTGGTAGATTCTTTGGGTACAAAACTAAAGATGTTAATCTTAATGATAAATTAAATTTAATTAAATTATCTTTATTAGATGAACGTAAGCAATTATTAAAATCTATCAAAGATAAACATCTGTTAGAATATGATACTCAGAGAAGAAATCATTTAAGAGAAATTGCTAATAATAGACCCAAGGATTATATTAGTCCAGAAGGATTAGATAGAATTGTTTTAGGTAGTAGTAAAGTTATATATTTAAAATCTTCATTAGACGATGCTTTTAACATGTGTGAATTCAAAAATGTTAATACTGCAGCTCATTATTTATGCTGCAGTACTAAAACAATACAACGGGCATTACATAAAGGTTTTATATATGTTCCTTCACATTTCTTACCATTTCTAAATCAATCTCATATAGATAATCATCTTTCAATTATTAATCATATTGATGAAATATCTTTAGAGAAATTTTATCGATATACCTTTCATAAAAGGGGTAAGACTTTAAAGTTAAAAGCTACTTTATCTAATAAACCTAACTTTGTTAAAATCTATATTTCAAGTGTATTAGCTAGAACATTATAGTTCTATTCATTATTTAGTTATATATAATAGTCTATCCAATCTTATATCTTACCTTATATAAAGGTATTATATAAGTATATAATAGTAACTCACATAAGTAAATTATATAAGATATATAGGTCATTCCTATTTAGATATATAACCATAAATCTAAGGCAACATTAGTGAAAACGATCAATATATTTTTATTATAGTAAGAATACGAGATCGTCGGTTTTATGTGAAATCGCTACAGACTGCAACACTGATGGACATCTGTAATGATGTTTAATGCACAGTCGAATCTTTACCGGTTTAACGGTATAAGCCCATACTGCCTCGTATATGGGCAAATGTCGCACTGAGGTGCAACTGTAATTACTAACTTATTATCAGCTATTCCATTTATTGGTAACGACATAGTTCCCTTTATCTGAGGTGGTTTCAGTGTAAGCAATCCTACAATTCAAAGATTCTTTGCTTTACATTTCTTATTACCATTTATTTTAGCTGCTCTAGTATGTATGCACTTAATGGCATTACATGTTAATGGTTCATCTAACCCTCTAGGTATCACAGGTAATATTGATAGATTACCTATGCACCCTTATTTCATCTTTAAAGATTTAATAACTGTATTCGTATTCTTATTAGTATTTAGTTTATTCGTATTCTATTCACCAAATACTCTAGGTCACCCTGATAACTATATACCAGGTAACCCTATGGTTACACCACCATCAATTGTACCAGAGTGATACTTATTACCATTCTATGCTATCTTACGTAGTATTCCAGATAAATTAGGAGGAGTTATAGCTATGTTTGGAGCTATTCTTATCTTATTAACTTTACCTTACACAGATAGATCATTTATCCGTGGTAATAGTTTTAAGGTATTATCTAAAACAATGTTCTTCTTATTCATATTTAACTTTATCTTATTAGGTAACTTAGGACAACTTCATGTAGAAGTTCCTTATATCGAATTAGGACAATACGCTACAGCATTCTACTTCTCTTATTATCTATTAATTGTTCCTGCTATCTCTTCAGCAGAAAACATCTTATACTATATCGGTACAAAGAAATAATTATTCTTCCATATTATTATATATAATATACCCCATCCTCAAATGATGGGATAGATCTCCTCCAGGTAGAGACCATATATTATTATATATATATAGGAGAGTAAATAAAAAAGAATGATCCAGCTATTTAGGCTATTCTCTAAATTACCTTGTTGAGACTCTTTGTAAGGGAATCATGAATTGTTGACTAATCGGCAAGTCCCCTAGATTTGGGCTAGGTCATACACGTTCGAATCGTGTCAGTTCAATACCTTTTATTATATTTATTTAATAAATAACATATTTTTATATCTATATATACCCACCCCCTACTTTCATCATAACTTTGCATTGCGGAGCTATATATAGTTGAAAGGTGGGGGGAAGTACTACTAGCTTAATGGTAAAGCCTTTTAATGTCACTAAAAGAGATGTCAGTTCGAGCCTGATGTAGTACGTAGGTCAATTTTACTTATTGGTACAGTTAGGCTATTTGCTATATAGTCCCTTTTTAGGGTCAGTGTTCGATTCACTGATTGGCCGTTATTAATATTCTACCCACCACAGGGTGGTTAGGTTATCCCTTACAATGTGAGGGAATATAATTTATGACACATAGTATAATGGTAATACATATTACTACGGATAATAACATAAGGGTTCGATTCCCTTTGTGTCTTATGCTATTCTCAATAGTTATAATTCTTCTTATTTATCTCGCTTTTAATCATGCTTCCTCCTCCCACTCTGCAGGGGGGAATGATATCTATCATACTAATAGATTAGCTTCCCTAGGATTACTATATGTCCTTTATCTAGCTTATCAAAGCTTAGATTTAAGATATAGTCAATTTACTCTTTATAATGATTGATTTAAACTTAATGATACTAATATTCCTTTAGTTTATCTTCAAATTATTTTAGTTGTATCTTTATTAATTTATATTACTGTTAAACAACGTTATAATATAACTAATATGTGAATATATTTATTAATAATTATTAACTTAATTGGTCTAATTTTATTCCCTATGGTTAATGATTTATTATTATTATATATTATTATTGAATTACAAAGTTATTCTTTATATATTATTACTGGTGTACATCATAAATCCTATAATACAACTAGAGCTAGTATGTTATACTTTGTAACAGGTGGTATTGCTTCAATTGGTATTTTATTAGCTTCTTACTTTATTTATAATATTGTAGGTAGTTGTAATATTACTGATATTACTAATTATTATGCTGTTTATAGATCTAATACTTTATTTGATAGTTTAGATATTTTAATCTTAGCTTTAATATTTAAAATGGGTCTTGCTCCTTTACATTCATGAAGTATTGCTGTATATAACTATGCTCCTACTTATATTACTGGATATATCTCTATTGTAGCTAAAGTATCTATATTATCTTGAATATATACTAATTCTAACTTAATTCATTCAGATTTATTAATATTTATATTCTATATTTCTATTATTATAGCTGCATATAAACCATTATTCCAAGTAAACTTTAAAACTATATTAGCTTATAGTGGTATATTAAACTTTGGTTATTTATTATTACCTGTATGTCTACAAGATCCATCATATTATATATATATAATACAATATGTTGTTACACATGTTATGATATTCTTATGTTTATTAGCTAGTAATGAATTTGTTACTAAACCTAATAGTCAATGATCTCCTATAGTAAATGTTAACCAATTAATTATACCTAATAAATTATTATCTATATGTTTAATATTATGTTTCTTATCATTAATAGGTATTCCACCACTACCAGGATTTTATGGTAAATTTTATGTAATACAAAGTTTAATGAAGTTTAACTTTACTGTTGAAGCTATATCTATAGTTATATTTAGTGTAATAGCTACATATTATTATGCATATATAATTAAACAATTAGCTACTAATTTAACTATACCTTATAGTCAACCTATTAATAAATCAGTAGCTTTAGTTATAAGTATATTATTAGTATTCTTCTTAACATATTTTGTTTATATATTTAATATTTTAGATGTGATTAGTATAATATTATCATAATGTTTACAGCTTATTTAATCTTATGTCCAATAGTTGCATTAGTTTTAGTAGGTATAAACTGATTATTAGCCACTAGTAACTCATATGTTGAAAAAGATGGTCCTTTTGAATGTGGATTCACTTCTTTCCAACAATCAAGATCCGCTTTTAGTGTAGCTTTCATCTTAGTAGCTATCCTATTCTTACCCTTTGATTTAGAAATATCTTCTATTTTACCTTATGTTATAAGCCCTTATACTAATGGTGTCTATGGTTTAATAATTCTTGTATTATTCCTTATGTTATTAGTTGTAGCCTTTATCGTTGAAATACGTCTTAAAGCTTTACAATTAAACCGTAACTTTACTAATGATTTACCTCATACTGAACTTTATGATATAAATACTAAAGATAATATATCTCAATAATACATAATATTCCCCTCCCACAGGAAGGAAATATTTATGTTTGTATATATTTATCTATTCAAATATTTATATTTTAATAAAGGTATATCTTCCTATATTTATTCTTTTAATCTTAATATCTTTATATATAATATAAAAGGTTATATTATTTATTATATATATAAGATATAAAATATATACTTTTTAAGGAAGATTATCTAATGACCCTCAAAGGAGGTACTCCTTTGAGGGTGATGATTAAATCCTTCTTTCCTTGAGTTATATATCAAGGAAGGGTTTAAGAATAATTCCCCCTCAAGGGAGTACCTCCCTTGAGGGGGAGGTGTAAAGAAGTACATATATGGAATATATTAATAATGTAAAATAATAAAAAATATATAATGGTATTTATATAAAAATATATAGGAGACATGATTTGAAAAAGTTATAAATGATATTAATATTAATATATGGATACTCATAAATTTCATATATATGTATAGATAATATAGATATATATGGGAGACTAATATTATAGAAAGGATAAATAAGTAAGGCATAAGCCGATCCTAGCTATAAATAGTATATAGAAAACTATGTGAATTGAAACATCTTAGTAACATATGTAAAAACCAATAGGGCTAACAGTAGTATCGGTGAGAGAATCTGTTGTTGTATACAAGTAATACCTTGTGGTATGAATATAGTAGTATCTACTACTAATACATAAACTATAATATTAAGTTAAAAGTACTGTAAAGGAAAGAGTTATATATAAACTTATATCTATAATAATATAAGATATATAGAATATATTATGAAATATATTAATAAAGAGCAACTATAGTATAGTGTACCTCTTGTATAATGGGTCAGTGAGTTATCCTTATGAGCGAAATAAAAATTATATGTTACTAGATATATTTATATTTAAAATAAATATAAGAAGTTCATAGGGATAGACCCGAAAGCACATGATCTATATATGTATAGATATACTTTTATCATAAGGTAAAAGTATGATCAAATAGGTAGATGTAGCAATATCTTCTAAAGATACGTGTATAGTAGTGAAAGGCAAAACTGATGTGCAGATAGCTGGTTATCTACGAAATATATGTTAGTATAGCCTTTATAAACCCCCCCTTTCTACATAGCTTCGCTATGTAGAAAGGGGGGGGACGTATTTCTTGGTAAAGCACTTAATACCATATGGGAATTTATTTATTTACTATATGTATTAAACCTCTGAACAAGTATAATATGATATATAAAGAGTCAGACTTATTGCGATAAGGTAATAGGTCGAAAAGGGAATAACCTAGACTATGAAATGAAGGTCCCAAATCCTCATTAAGTGAATACAATCCTATGGGTTGAGAAATCCCCTCTATACCTTATTACAAGGTTTATTTTGATCAGACAATTAGTCAGTGGGTTTGATAATAATCACCTGTTAAAGAACATGTAAAAATGCACTAATAGAACATCTCATCCCTTCGGATGGGATATATCAAAAGATAGGAACAAATATACGGGTCTAAATGTAGGAACCGAATCATAGATATAATATATATTTATATATTATATAGTAGTAGATTATATAGTAATAAAAACTATAAAGAGAATGCTGACTTGAGTAACGATAGGTAATTTAGGATTACCCCCACATAAACATAAGGTTTAACTATAAATTAACGGTATCTAAGTATATATATGAAGATATATATATGATGATTGATAGTACAGGAAAATGTAATAACCGTACCGCAGTCCGACCCAGGTGTGTAAAATATATATATTTATTTATATATATATCATACTTAATATATTTATATTAAGTATGATGAGTGGGAATGGGTGAAGTATCATAAATGAACTCGGCAAATAAGGCAAGGCCTGAATAGTACGACTGTTTACCAAAAACACAGCTTACTGCAAATAGGAAACTATCGGTATAGTAAGTGATATCTGTCCGGTGTTAGCAAGATAAATTATAATTGGCTTATTAACGACGGTCTTATCATGAGGATCTGAAAGTAGCAAAATTCATTGGCATATAATTGGTGTCCCGCATGAATGATTATACGATACTATAGCTGTATCTATGGTATACCCAGTGAAATAGTAATCGCAGTGAAGATACTGTGTAGTCATAGATTGACAAAAAGACCCTATGCAGCTTTACTATATTCTTATACTGTTATACCCATAAATATTTAAATGTAAAATATCTCTTCTTATTAAAGAATAAATATTTGTTTATATCTTTATGTGTATAACTAACCTAATAACCCCCTCCCACCAATCTTCATAACTTCCCATAGCTTAGCTTTGCTAATATATGTGTAGTAGGTTGGTGGGTAGAGGGAAGGCACCATATAAGATGGTTAGTTTCGATGGGGCGTCGGCATCACAAAACATAACTGATGTGTCTATATGATATTTTTATATTCCCTTATATTTATAGTTATATTTTATATTTCTAAATATAAGGCCTATATCTTTTTATAAGATTATAATAGTATAAACAAGTACAGATACACTAGCAGGCAACTAGTATATATTCTGATATGTTTAATAAGACATTAGGAATAAATTAATAAGGATAATAACATAACTGTGCTATGATAATGACACATACTTGTGGAATTAGTACTTAAGTATAGTATATTGAACAGGCAATATCATTAGAATTGAGTGTCGATTACGGATTAAAGTTACGCTAGGGATAATTTAGTTGTCCCTTTATATTGTGAAATATATTTATTAACAAGGTTAAATACAAAGATATCTGTCCCCCTTTTTCACTTTCTCTATATAGATGATAAAGTAGGAGAGGGAGAATCTAAGACAATTTGTAGCGAAGACATGAAAATGTAACGTTCAACGACTAGAAGATGAAATAATACTTCCAAGAATACCTTGCATCTTAGGTTAAGATGATGACATAGTCTAAACTATATAGTGATATATAGATATATATATTAATTAATATATATGATAATAATATTGAACAGGGTAATATCGCTAGAGAGTTGATATCGTCAGCGATGTTTGCCACCTCGATTAGAAATAGACATAGTTGAGGTTAAATAGAGTGAATTGCAAGGATATCTAAGAATATATATATATTTATGATAATTTGCAGCGTTATTGTATAGTTCCCCCCCCACCTCCTCTGTTAGAGGAGGTGGGGGGAAATTAGATATATGGCGTTCAACGACTAGAAAATATAATATATTTTCCATGAGTACTCTAGATTTATATATATTAAGAATATATAAATTAAGACATAGTCTAAACTATAATGAAAATTATAGATATATATAATAAGAATTATATATGATAATATATTTGGTCGTCTAGACTTATCCTATTGGTCGTAGAAGCTAATAAGGGTACGACTGTTCGTCGTTTAAAAAGTTACTTGAGATGGGTTAATTACGACGTGAGTCAGTAATGATTTTATCATCTATGACGTTAATAGTAGTATATAATTATATGTGTACGAAAGGATTATATAATATAGTCCAATGGTTAAGAGCATCCGATTCTAAGCTAAGACTATAAAGGATAAATATTGATAGCTTATAAAATATTAAGCCTTATATACTCACTATATATACATTAAAGATAATAATGTAATAGTAATATATCTATGTACCTTTCTTCGAAAGGAAGGATATAATAAACTAATAAATTTAATCATATATAACAACAAATCATGTCAAAAATTACATAATATATAATAATTACCCCTCCCTCCGGGAGGGGTGATAACCCCCCCCCTTGTAGGGGGGTCATTAATTATACTTTAAGAGTATGATTTTCATAGATTATAGGTTAATCCCCTTCCGCAAAGGAGGGGATGAGTCTTAAGAAGGTGTATTTCAGATAAATGGTAGCATTTATCCATAATCCCTCACTTTTCCCCCCCTGCAATGCAGGGGGTGTTAGGGGATCATAGATTAATTGGTAAATCTTACGCTTTGCATGCGTATGTTATCGGTTCAATTCCGATTGATTCCAGATATATATGATATAAAATTATAAAAAGAATTATGATCTGACTAGATGTGCCAACACCTTGAGCAATTAGATTCCAAGACTCAGCTACACCAAATAGCGAGGGTATTCACGAATTATACGACCATATTATGTATTATCTTACATTAATATTAGGTTTAGTTTCTTATATATTATATGTAATTATTAAAGATTTTAGACAAAATAAATTTGCATATAAATATATAAGACATGGACAAACAATTGAAATTATATGAACAATCTTCCCAGCTGTTATATTATTATTAATTGCTTTCCCTAGTTTTATTTTATTATACTTATGTGATGAAGTATTAACTCCAGCTATGACTATTAAAGTTATCGGTCTTCAATGATATTGAAAATACGAATATTCTGACTTTGTTAGTGAAACAGGAGAATCAATTGAATTTGAATCATATGTTGTACCTGACGATATGTTAGAAGAAGGACAATTAAGATTATTAGATACTGATACATCTATAGTTGTTCCTGTAGATACTCATGTTAGATTTGTAGTAACAGCTAATGATGTAATTCATTGCTTTACAATTCCTTCATTAGGTATTAAAATAGATGCTACACCTGGTAGATTAAACCAAGTAAGTGCCTTACTACAACGTACAGGTGTTTTCTATGGACAGTGTTAGCATAATAGCACCTTTATATTGTAAAATATAAAAGCAAACAAAGTTAATTATAAAAATATCTTATATATACCTAAGACAATTTATAGCGAAGTCTATTTCTAATAAAATAGAAACGTTAAACGACTAGAAGATGAAATAATTCTTCCAAGAAAGCTTTGCATCTTATGAAATATCCCTCCCCCCTATCTAGAGCAATATAGCTACTTAAAAGGGTTATCATAAGATGATGACATAGTCTAAGCTGTATAGTGATATACAGATATATATATTAAATATTATATATGTTAATAGCCCTGTCAGAGCTCTGTGGAGTTGAAGGTTGGCTCTAATATATTGTGAAATATATTTGAAACTAATGTATCATTAGTGAAACGAGGTTAATTATAAAGATCCCTTATAGATATAAGGTAATTTGTAGCGAAGCTTATTTAGATAATTCTATAAAGAATAAATTAATAGGAACGTTCAACGACTAAAAGAATAAACAATTCTTTCAAGAAAGCCTCGCATCTTATTTATAATATAAGATGAAGACATAGTCTAAGCTATATAGTGATATATAGATATATCTATTAAATAATAGCCCTTTAGGGGGGTATACAGTCCAAGGAGTGAGACCGTATATATATGTTAATAAACCAAGTAA